GCCTGGCCGGCGCAGGCCGACACGTTCTTCCTCACATGCATCCGCTGCAGGATGGGGCTGGGGGCCGCAACTTCAGTGTCGGGGCCGGGGTCGGTGTCCGTGTCAATACTGAAGGCCACTCCTGCTGGCCTGCTGGGGGATGGGCTGCCATCAATCAGGGTCTGGGCTCAGATCATGAGACTTGCCCTCTCCTTGTACAAATGGGTAAACTGAGGCCTCAGGGCCTGCCCCCCATGTGTCCACGCCCCAGGTGGGAGTTGGCAGGTGGTGGCCAGGCAGGTAGGGGGAAGACTAGGGGATGTGGTAGGTGTTGGGGGAGGGCTGGGGAGGTGGCAGGTGAGCACAGGGACTGGGCAGAGGCGGTGCTCACGTGGGAGTGTGAACAATGTGGACGGTGCATTTCTTTTGGGGTTGCGTGGGCAGCCACGTCCGGGCCAGGCCCACCAGCAGCCCGGCGTCCAGCAGCCCATAGCCGTAGTGGTGGCTCACTGTGGGGGGGCAGCTGTCACCGCCCTGTGGTCACGGCACCCCCACCCCCGCCCGGTCCTGCCGCACCTTGGCGTCCCACACCGTTGGTCCTCCAGTCCTCAGCCTGGAGCTGAGCCGGCCTGGACGCACGAACCACCAGATGCTGCATGTCCCTCCACGTCAAGAACGGGCTGGGAGGGGGTGAAGGCAGGTAAGCTGGGGCCAGGCCAGGGGGCACAGGCAGTATGTGGGGCCCTATTGGCACCTACTTGGCCTCCAGAGCCAGGGCGATCATGCCCGCGGCCAGCGGCGCAGAGGCCGAGGTGCCTGTGTGCTTGTCCGTGCACCGGTGGTGCAGGTCTGTGGTGACCTGGGGGCACAGAGAGGGACTCAGGGGCCAGCGCACACGAAAACCCTGCCTGGTTCACAAAGTCCCAAGGGCTTCAAACAAGAGGCACCACAGAGCAGGACAGCGGGCTCAGGGCCCTGAACAGGGTGCCTGCCCTCCTGGGAGACATGAGGGTGTGTGAAGGGGCAACCACCATGCAGCCTGGCCCTGGGACCCCAGTCTGTGTGTCAGGCGCCCACAGGGCAGCCCTGGGAGGAGGGAAGGCGGGGGACCAGGTGAGCCAGGTTGGGTGGGCAGGTCCGGCTGCGAGAGGGCACTGGGCAGGCACTCACAATTTGGGGGTCTGTGGCCACGCCGCTGCTGAAGGTAGTGGTGAGTGTGGAGGCGCAAGCCTCACTGTACCAGGGCACGTGGCCCTGCTGGGTGGTGCTGCCCACGGAGAGCGTGTGGATGCTGTTGGTGTAGCCGTCACAGTTGCAGTTGTCATAGTGCAGGCCACCGTTGCCTGAGGCCCAGATGAAGAGGGTGCCCAGCCCGCCGCGGCCCTGCAGACGAGGGACAGGGACAGAGACTGGGATGGAGCGTGGGCCTCCCACACAGGCCCAGGCCTCTGTGCCCCGCGCCCGCTCACCTTGGTCACACCACGCCTAAAGGCCTCTCGGGTGAGGATGCCCGGGCCGTCCACCGTGCGGCCATCGTCCTCAGGGCCCCAGCTGGCGCTGTAGATGTGGATGTGCTGCGGCTGCAGGCTCAGTGACTGGGCCTCGATGACATCCGTGATGGTCCCGTCCAGCATGCGCACCCCTGTGTGGGCAGCGGAGGTGGCCTCTGTGGGCATCCTGCCTGTGCCCGGGGCTGGGGGTGTCTGGGGGTGCTCAGCATGGCCCAGGGATGAGCATGTGGCACCCAGAGGCTTCCTCCCCAGCTCTCTGCCAACTCTCCCGGGTATTTGCAGCTACCCCGGGCCGCGGGCCTGAGTCTGTCCCCGGCGAGAGCCTGAGTACCTCCGATACGGGCGTTGTAGGCGACGCCAGTGCCACAGAACCTGTTGTTTGCTATCGCTGCCACTTCCCCAGCACAGCGGGTTCCGTGCCTGATGCCAAGTCAGAGACAGGTTCCCGTCACAGCCCCCTCGGCCCCCTAGGGATACCAGGAGCTGCCCCCTTGCCCTGTGGGACACTAGGCTCACCGGTTCTCATCACTGGGCGTGTATCTCGGCTGGGGGTCTGGGTCGTAGTCGTTGAAGTCATAGCTGGCCAGGGGGTCCTGGGGGAGGGTGGGGACTTGAAGGGGCTGTGACAGGCCTTGGGACGTGAGGAAGCCCTGACCCGGCCCCATGGACTCACGTAGTTGGCCCAGAGGTCTGGGTGGTCCTTCTCGATGCCGTCATCCAGGACAGAGACCACGATGCCCTGGCCGGACAGTCCCTGGCTCCACACCTGCAGGATATTCAGGTCCGGCTGCACCTTGTTGTTCTGTGCAAGGCGGGGCCAGGGTCAGTGGGGCTCTGGCCTGGTCCAGCCCCGCCGCCCAGCCTGGCCAGCTCACCATGTACCACTGCTTGGAGAACCAGGGGTCCGTGGGCACCACCAGGGAGCGTTTCACCCGCCGCCGCAGCGTCTGCTGCTGGAACCACTGCACCTAGGGGGAACCATGCCGTGGGAGGGGACTTGGATCGACGAGCTTCCCACCCTCCTCCCAGCTTCCTGCTGTCACACTTGAGTGCTTTAGAGGGCCCTGTCCTAGAGACCACAGCAACCTGCCCCTCAGCCCTTCTGCCAATTCCTGGTGAAAAGGCCCAAATCTGCTTCCAGGGTCTGGGTGGGCCTCTTCTCTGGGTCTGCCAAGGGGCTGTGGTTTAGTGGGATGTATGTCTGGGCTGTCCACTGCTTGTCCTGGGGACCTCGGAGTGTGGGATGGGGCCAGGGACTCCGTGTTTGCTGGGGCTGCTCTTGGGGGTCCCCATGTGCCTGGGGCTCTCCCTTCAAAGGGGGCCGAAGCCCTCAGAGTACCCACCTTCAGGGGCCAACAGACACAAGGCTGCTCCCCAGTGTGGCTGGGTTCCCAACCCTGCCCCTTTTCCCATCCTTGTTTTAGAATCCCTCTCCCCTAGACCTGCCCATATCCCCCTGCAGGGCCCACTTCTTTCTACCTCACCCTCCCCAGTGCAGGACACCCCTGTGTGGCTAGACCTGTCTCCTCCTTGGTCCTTCAGCTGCCCTGCCCCTGCCACCTCTCTACAACACTCTCTTGGAACACTGCAGCCTCACTCTCTGTTGAAACCCTCCCGTGGTTCCCCACCACCCTTTCCAGAGCCCACGAGACTCCTTGCTTGTCTGGCCCCCACCAGCCTTCCTCTGCTGCACCCACAGTGGCTGTCTCACTCCAGGACCTTTGCACATGCTGTTCTGACTGACCTGGCTTGCTCTTGCTCAGACCTTTGCCCTTCCCCCCTTTTCCTTATTGATTGTCTACCCGCTAAACCAGCTCATGTTCCCCCACCCCCATCTCAACAGTCAGGACCATCTTCTCCCCATTTGCTCAGCTCCAGACTTGGAAACTGGCCTCCATTTCCCACACATTCAATCCATTAGCAAGCCCTGGTCTCTGTCCTGCAAGCCACATCCCCACCGTAGAGACTAGGGGGCCAAATAGACACCAAGATGCAGAACTTGGTGACTTGCCAAAGGTCACACAGCCATTCATAACAATCACAAGAATAACAGGAGGTGGCTGAGGCCCCTGAGGGGGCAGCCTCGAGGCCAGGCTCACCTTGGGGTCTTTCTTCAGGCGCAGGCAGTGGCCCCAGTGCGGAGTTAGGGACTGCTGGACCACGCCCCGGTGCCGCAGATGGAAATACTGCCCGTCAGGGAAGATCTGGGAACGTGGGGGAGCAGTGGCATGGATGGGACCGGGCTGCCCTGATGGAGCTCCCCACAGGAGAGAGGCCAGGCCCCAACTCCTTACATCTCCCCCAACCAGGGGCCCAGGTAGGGGCTTCAGGTGCCCTCTGGGGATCCCAGAATCTGAAGCTGATCGAGGCAGGAGAGACCTTGGAGTCCTGGATATCTGGGGAACCTAGGGGGCCCCTTCCATCTGTTGGGGTCTGGGGTCCTCCAGCCCCTGCCCCCTCCCGTCAATCCGGGTCCCCCCACCTGCCCCAGGTTGACGAAGCCGAACTTGCGCGCCAGGCGCTCGACCTCCTGGTAACCCTGGGACACCCGCACAGCCCAGCTGCTGACATAGATGGGGACCCGGGCCGAGGCCCACCCCACAGCCATGGGGCCAACGAGTGCCAGGCCCAGGGCCAAGGTCAGTCGCAACCAGAGCGCAGACCGGGCAGGCCGCATTGCGGCGGGGGCGGGGCCTACAAAAGCCCCTCCCCTTGGCCAAACCGCCAAGACGTCCCAGGCGCCCGCCCCGCCCCTGGAGCCATAGCAACCCCTGAAAGGCTTCAATTCCCAGGGGGCCTTGCGTCTCCCCGATTAGAAGGGCGAGATCTGACAGCAGTGAAGGGAACACGCGGCCACTCTGGTAGTCTGCAGACTCAAACCCTCCGGAGCCTCAGTCTCCCTATTTGTACAATGACCTAAATCTTCTGACCCAGAGGAGTGGGCTCTCCGTTGCTAAAATTGACCCCGCCCCTTTATCTGATCCCGCCCACACTCATATACGCTCCTCCCCTTAGAATGAGTGTTGCTTCCTTTTCGATCCAACCAGAATTGTTTTTTCAAAAAGTCCCGCCTTCTCAATTTAGCTCCGCCCCATCCTGGTCCCTCAGATTCCTTCCCTCCTCCTTTATGTTCAGCCCCGCCCCCTCCCTGTTTTCTCCAATGAATCTTTTCGCGTTTCTCCAATCAACTCTGGTTTTTCTCCGGCCCCTCCCACCAACTCCGCCTCTCCAGCACTCTTCTCTCCCTCCCATAGCTCCACCCCCACAACAGCTCAGCCAATAATCCCGGCCATGACCCCGCCCCCAACCAGCTACGTCCCTGTCCGGCTCGGCCAATCGGGGCCCTCAGCTACGGTGCCCCGCCCCCTTCCTCCAAAGTCGCAGCTGCGGGGGCCGCGGCCCGCCAGAGGGCAATGCGGCGGGGGAGACGGGGCAGGCCCCACCTCCTTTGCCCGCCCTGCTCTCCCATTGGCCAGAGCGGGGGACAGGAGGTGGAGACCGGCCAGGGGGCGGAGACCAGCTCCGGGGCCGAGCGGTGCGGCTTGCGAAAGGCGGCCCGAGCGCGACCAAGTCCGTGCGCGGGGCGGCGGTCAAACTCAGGCTGCCAACCCCGGGCCCACCGGTGCCATGGACGGCCTGCGACAGCGCTTCGAGCGCTTTCTGGGACAGAGGAACTTGGCCACCGAAGCGCTAGGGGCGCTCGAAGCCAAGACCGGTGTCGACAAGCGGTACTTGGCCGCGGGTGAGCCGTCGGGAGGCCCTCGGGGCCACCCATTTCGCAGACGGGCACACTGAGGCGCTGGGACACCAGGGCCTCAGACCTGACCCTCCCGGCCGGCCCCGGCTGCCAGGTCCGGCTCTGGCGTCGGGGCACGCTCACAGACCCCCGGGGAGACCGAGATCCCAGGGAGGGGTCGTGGACCGGGACCTTGGGTCTGCCTGCAGCTCCTCCCCGCCCCCTCCGTGAGGTCTTGGGCGACCCCTTCTCTTTGCCCCGCAGCACCCCTACTCTGGCCGTCAGGTCTAGAGGCTGTCCTCAGTGCCCTGGGTGCCAGCCAGGCAGAAGTCCGGTTCTTCCAGTCGTCCTGCCGACCCCGGGGAGGAGGGGCCGGGTAGGGAGCCAATGCCCTGCGAGTCTCCACCACCCCCATCCAGGATCAACCCCAGCGTGGAAGCAAGTTTTCCCAGGGCATGCTTCAGACCAGGAGGCGAAGGGTCACTGCCACCTCCCCTCCCATGGTTTACTGCTAGTACCCCCGACCCTTGGCCTGCCCTTCCTTCTCTCCCATCCGGAGTTCTGTTGTTTGACTGCTGTGGTGGTGTTGGAGGGAGGTTGGATGGGGCCCACAGAGAGGACTGTCCAGCCACCCCTGATTTCACTCCCATTTCAATCCCTCCTCTTTCTTTCCTCCTCCTGACCTTGAGTGGCCCATACCACCTTCTGAAACTGTCTAGGAATTGCCCCTTAAGTGCCTCCCTCTCCTCTTTTTTTGGTGCGCCAGGCCCATCCACTCTCTCCCACCTCTTTCAGGTAGCCCCCCTCCCCGGCATGAATCACAGGACACTTGGTTCGAACACTTGGGTGGGGGCTCTGGGTGAGGATGTGCCACGTGTTTTGAGCACCTGTGTGCAGATCCTGAGAGGCCACTTTCCTCCTATTTCCTCTCCAGCTGGGGATTCCCATGCCAGACAGCCCAAGGAGGGTTCAAAACCTGTCCCCCCAGGTTCCTGACGCCCAATCCATGTCAGCTCAGCCAAGGATTGCCCTGGGGAGTAAGCGTGACCTGGAGCCTGGCTTTCCAGGTCCCTGGTCCCTGATACCACTAGGCGGGGAATTTAGGTCATAGAGCACTGGGGAGGGGCCTGGTTGGGAGGAGTCTCTGGGGAGGATGGGGGTCACAGGGAGGAAACTGAGATGGAGAGCAGCCGGGGCTACATGGGAGGCTGCCCCCACTGCCTGCCCTGAGCGTCTACCCCCTCCCTGGCCCATCTGTCGCTGATCCCTGGGGCTGTGCCCCCCCCCCCATGTCCAAGGTTATCCTCTCTTTGCTGAGGCTGCAGGAATAGGGATTGAGGGGAAGGGTTCCCTGGGGGAGCTGCTCCCCCCCAACCAGCAATTTCCAGGGAAAGGGTGCCATTCCACCAATCCCTCTCCTAGATGTAGGAACCCTTGGGCCCCACCTGCCCCGTGCCAAGATGGCCAACCCCCCTAGCTCCCAACTCACTGAGGAGGAATCCCAGAGGAGGCAGTGAGCAGGCCTCTCAGGGCCAGCTGGGGATCCCCCCTCCCTCTCCTGACCCAGACCCCAGGGATAAAAACTAATGCAGGTGGAGAGGGTGAAGGTGATTCTGCCATTTGGTCCACTAGTAGCCTGTATGTCTCTGTGCAAATGACAGCCTGGTTGTGGGGGGCGGAGAAGAGGCTGTAAATGCTCCCAGAAGCCACAGCGTCTCCCTGAGTGACCCTGTGCAAGCCCCATCCCCCCAGCTTCCATTTCTCCTGGCTGTTGGATGAGATAGAGCAGGGAGGAACAGAGCCCTGCACACAAGAAGCGCTTAATAAATGCAGCAGCGACCATTATCATTTTAGAACGGCTGACGCTCCTGGGCTCCCCTCACTGTTCTGCTCTGAGACCTCAGACTGCTGGGAGTGTGTTTGGGCCAGCAGAGGGCACTCACAAAAGTGTAGGGAGGGGTCCTCTGCTGAGTCTCGCTAACCCCACTGCAGCCCTGGGGGGCAGGGCCGCTACCACCCCACTGACAGATGGGGAACCTGGGGCTCCAAGCAGGCGTCACGTGGTGGGGTGAGAGCTCTCCTCAGTCTGGGGGACTCTCCAGATGGCACTTTGCTCCCTCCCACTAAGAAAAGGACTCGCAAACGGGGCCGCGCTGCCCGCAGGACACTGGGGTTGTGTCCGGAACATCTGTGGCCGTCATGACTGGGGGGCTCCTGGCATCGGGATGCTGCTCCACAGCCCAGATGCGGTGCCCAGGACAGCTTCTGAGAGAGAATGACCTGGCTCCAGTATCAGCAGTGGCCAGAGGGACAGACCCAGGATTAAAAGTTAAAACCTCTGTTGCCTTTCTCTGCTCTCCAGGAGTCAAGTCTTAACGACAGAGTGGTCTATTCAAACTCTAGTTTCCCGTGCTCTGCCCGTCCTGCAGGACCCGGAGCGAGGTGTTTCTAATTGCAGAGGTCACACATACATTCAACAAACATTGGGCAGCTCCCTGGTACAGACCAGTCCTGAGGTGCCCACGTGCCCTTGGAGAACTCCCTGTCTTGTGGGGGAGACTGACATGTTAGCCACAAGACTCGGGGTTCAGGGCTGTGATGGGGATGGCCCAGGTGCTGCAGGGCAGTAATTCATCCTGAAGGGGCTGCTGTGGCTTCGGGGAGGCGTGGGGGTGGCAGGTTTTCGGGTCAGGCCAAGAGGGCTCTGTGGTCCAGCTCAGCACGTGCAGGGATCCCTACCCACGCCCCTCTCTGCAGGAGCCGCCACTCTGCTAAGCCTGTATCTTCTTTTCGGCTACGGGGCATCTCTGCTGTGCAATCTCATCGGCTTTGTGTACCCCGCATATGCTTCGTGAGTGCCCGCTGGCGCTTGGCGGGGGGAGCATGGGGGTGGCCAGGGCCCCAGGCAGCTCCTGACCCTGCCGCATACCACCCACCCCAGAATCAAAGCTATCGAGAGCCCAAGCAAAGAGGACGACACTGTGTGGCTCACCTACTGGGTGGTGTACGGCCTGTTCGGACTGGCCGAGTTCTTCAGCGACCTACTCCTGTCCTGGTTCCCTTTCTACTACGCGGGCAAGGTGGGTGCCGCCAGAGACGCTCCTCCACACAGCCCCCAGAGCTCGCAGGAGGCGACCAGGGGACGAGGGTTCTAAGTGGGCCCCACCCTACTGCCCCCAGAGTGTAATGGGGAGACTCAGCCCCTTTCCTGGGGAGACAGGCTCTGCCAGGCAGGGGGTGTGATGGGTCCATCCAAGGAGTGTGTGATGGAGGAGACCAGGCCCATCTGACGGGGGAGGTCCAGGTCCACCCCAACCCGGTGTCTGATGGAGGAGGCTCAACCTCCGCCCCCAGGGGCACAGAGCAGGCCGAGTGTGACTCCTGCCGGTGCCCGCAGTGCGCCTTCCTGTTGTTCTGCATGGCTCCCAGCCCCTGGAACGGGGCTCACAGGCTGTATCATCGCATCATACGTCCACTGTTTCTAAAGCACCACGAGGCCGTGGACAGCATCGTGAGCGACCTCAGCGGGCGGGCCCTGGACGTGGCGGCCGGAATAACTCGGGACGGTGTGTGCTCCCAGGGCAAGGGGTGTCTGTCTGTCCAGTCTCTGTATGTCTGTCTGGCCTCTGGCTCCCCGGCCCCCATCACCTTGACTCCTGCCTCCCGTCCTCCTAACTCTAACTGGCCTCCACCTGGCATCTTGGCCGCCTCCGTCGGGCACTCCCCACCCCCTCACTGTCTGCCTCTCTCTCCTACGCTCTCGGGAACCAGTCCTGCAGACCCTGGCCCGCAGCCGGGCTCTCGTCACCCCGGCGGCTGCGGCCGTGAGCCCCTCACCACCCTCAGAGCCGACTGTACGTAAGCCCCACCCCCAGGACGTAGGGCACGCACGTGTGTGCCCGTGTGCGTGAGCGTGAGTGTGCGTGCCTGCACCTGACTCTCTCCCCGCCAGGGGGGCCCCACACTGGCCCCCGGCAGCCTCCATCCCACTCTCTGCAGCTGAGCACAGCCCTTGGGCCCCTGGGCACAGCCAGACCTACCTCACCCCCGGGCCCTCTCTCTGCAGCCCAAGCAAGCGTGACTCAACTTCAGAAAGTCAAGTGAAGTCCCTGTCCAGCCCCGGCAAAGACCTGCCAGCCAGTAAGCTGGAGGACACATCGCACCCCAAGTCGTCTGTGGCTTCCTCCACCGAGTCCCCAGCAGAGTCCTCCACCAGCCCCTTGTCCCCGAGCAAGGCAGCCGCCAGGACCTCTGCCAGCCTGAGCCAGTCCCAGCCTTACTTCCCGGCCACTGGCTCTGCCAGTGGCTCCCAACTGCCTCGCAAGGTCCAGGGTGGGCTTCGGTCTCGAGCCAACTTCTCTGGCCAGCCCCAGGCCCCCAGCCAGATTCAGACCCCTCGCCAGCCCCAGGCCTCCAGCCAGACTCAGACCCCCGGCCAGCCCCGGGCCTCCGGCCAGACTCAGACCCCCGGCCAGCCCCGGGCCTCCGGCCAGACTCAGACCCCCGGCCAGCCCCGGGCCTCTGGCCAGACTCAGACCCCCGGCCAGCCCCGGGCCTCTGGCCAGACTCAGAACCGTGGCCAGCAGCGCGCCCAACTGTCCACCACTTCCTCAGGCCCTTCCCAGATGGCCCACAGGTCCTCAGGCTCCAGGCAGCATCCCAGCACCTCCTTCAGCCAGGGGGTCCCCCTCGTGCAGTTTCCCGGTGGCACCCCCATCCCCACACAGCCCCCCAGCAAGACCCCCGATGGGCCAGGGGCCTCAGTCCCTAAGGCCTGCAAGCCAAGTAGGCAGCCCCTGGCACTGCACACCAGCAGCAGCTCAGTGCCCGAGCTGCCTGCCTCCTGCCAATCTGAGTCCTCCCTGGAGTACTCCTCCGAGTCCACCACGGAGGCCAGCTGCAGCTGGCCCAACCACACACCTGGGCTCCACTACCTGCAGCACTGCTGGCGGCTGAAACACCTGGCCTGCTAGGGAGGACTCAGTAAAGCTCATTTGGACCAACCTCGTCCAGCCGTCTGTCCTTTGGGGGCCGGGTGAGGGGCTTCACGGGCTCGGTCTCCTCCTCCAGGGGCAGGTGCTGCGCAGCACCACTGCGCAGATGAGAAGACTCGGACTCAGAACGGAGGGCTCACCAACTGGCCGAGACATGCCCGCACGCCCGGGAGATCCTTGTCCTCACCCCCGAGCTTCCTCCCTCTCCTGGCCTAGCGGTCAGGCTCGCTCACGTCAGACTCCTTGTTTTAAAAACTCTCCTAAGAGAAGCAAGGTAGAGGAAACAGTCCCGCCTCACCTGCGCTCCCCCCAGAAGCAGGCATCCCGCAGGAATTTGAGTTCTCAGGAGGAGACCCTGTGAAGCACCAGCAGGGAGTGGAGCAGGGATAGAGGGGGATGGAGGAAGGCGGTGAAGGTGTGGCCAAGCCCAGCACACCTGCGGGCAACTGGCGCTCTGACTCCCATCGAATGCACACCTGAGACTTAGCCTGCCCAGGTGCCCAGGAAGCAAGGCCTCATCCACCACCTTGGTGGTCCCCTGGGGAAGCTGTGGCCCTTCGCACCAGCCAGCGCCCCCTGCAGGCAGCGCAGGGGGCAGGGCTAGCCAGCCTTCAGCAAAGAGGCCCTGGGAGGCTGGCTGTGGACATCAGCCTGGCCTTCCTGGAAATGGGGAGTGAGAAGCTGGGTGGGCATGGCCAGGACCTCCTACCACCTGCAGCTGGTTTCCTGTGTGAGGCCAGCATGACAGTGATCACAGAAACAGGCAGGGACAGGATGAGTGAGGACAGTGATGGGCCTGCCGTGTGGAGAGAGGCAACATCTGGGTGCACAGGAGCAAATCAAATCCAACGGGATATAAATATCCAAAACACCTCCCTGTTCAAATTCAGGTCCTCTAAAGCAGTCAGAAGCTGGGGCTGGGGGAGCTGAGCAAGGAGGTGGTCTTGGCCAGGGCCCTAGACCTGGAACTACACCTGGAACCAGCTCCAAATGGAGCCCAGGGGCCCGAGATTTGTGCCCCTAAATCTGTCGGTCACTGGCTTCAGCCCACCCCCCGAGAGGGGTCTGTAACCCTGAGGGGATCTCCTTGAGGTAGCTCCTGTCAACCAAAGACAAATCTCCCACGAGACGTCAGCAGCCACGCCTGGGAGGACCCCGTGGTGTCCATCACAGACAGTTTTCCTAAACAGGTGGCAGCTTTGCACAGCTCCCAACACTGCAGCCCCGTGTCCTCATCCTTGTCAACTCCAATAAGGGAGCAGGAGGCACTGAGTTCTACTAGAAGCAGGGGGTCCAATTCATCCATTCCATTGCTCAGCCAATATTGATCACCTACTGTATACCAGGCCTTGCTCCAGGAGCCAAGGGTAGAGTAAGAATCCAGAGAGAGAAAAATCCCTGTTCCTAAGGATTTGGAAGGGTGACCATCGACACGATAAACGGTAACACGTCAGAAGGAAGAGAATGTAATGGGGAAATGGGCAGCCGAGAGTCGGGGTGCAGGGGCTCCCCCATCAGGCAGGGTCAGAGAAAGGCTTCTCTGTGGAAATGACATTGGCGTAGACATGCGGAGGAAGTGAGGGCACAAGTCTTGTGAACACGAGGGCAGGAGTGGTCCAGGCGGCTACAGAGGAGGAGGACGACTTTGCCTGGCAGGTTAGAGGAAGATCAGGGGGGCTGGTGTGGCGGGAGCCATGTGAGCGAGGGTGAGAGAGGTGGGTCTAGGGGGTGGACCATGCAGATACCTGCCTGCTTCTGGGGGAGCACAGGAGAGGCAGGACTGTTTCCTCTACCTTGCTTCTCTTAGAAGAGTTTTGAAAACAAGGGGACTGACATGAGCAAGCCTGACCTCTAGGCCAGCGAAGACTTCGGCTCTAACTCCGGGATGTAGGATTTCTTGGAAGGAGGGGATCGAGGCTAATTATTAATGAGCTCCCACCCTGCTGGGAAGTCCACCTGGGCACTGGGGACAGGGATCTTGGCATCTGCTTAGCACTGCCCCAGCTGTTTGAAGATGGTGGTGTGACCTCGGTCCAGGGCTGGCTCTCTCTGCACGTGACCTCGCCCCGCTCCCGCTGTGCCCCTCAAAGACCATCCCAAGGCCCCACCCACCCCCGGGTCAGCTCACCTGGGAGCACAGGTGAAAGGACACACGCCTGACTCACCAGGTGGAGGCAGTGACCTTTAGTCCGTCAGACATGTTTTAATTTAAACATACAGAGAAGCGTAGTCAGTGACTTGAGGCAAGTAACGCATCACGGCTGGCCCTGCTGGTCACTCCCCACCCTCAAAGGCAGCCCCATCCACACCTCCCCCCACCCATGAAGGTCACTTGCATCCCGTCCACAGTGTTTTCTGCCCTCTCCCGTCCGACTCGACTCTCTGCACTGCCACGGGCAGGGCCCCTGGTGCCCTTCTCTTCCACTGGCAGAGAGCATGTCATTCTATGGGAAGGCCGCAGGGTGCCCCGTGCCACTGTGGGTGGGCCTTAGCGTTGTTTCCAGTTGGGGGCTATTGTGACAAAAGCTGCTAGGAACATTCTAGAACCAGTCTTTGGTAAGCAGTGCTCTCCTTCCCCTTCGGCATTCACCTGTCAGACTGCAGGGTTTCAGGTGAGAGTGTGAGCCTCCTGGAGCTGCTTTAACCAATTATCACCAACTGGGAGGCTTGGGACAATAGAAATTTATTCTCTCACCATCTGGAGGCCTCAAGTCCAAGATCCAGGGCTGGCAGGGCCGTGGTCCCTCCAGAGGCTCCAGAGGAGGGTCCTTCCTGCCTCCACCGGCTTCTGGGGGCCCCAAGCATCCCTGGGCTTGTGGCCCCATTGCTCTGACCTCTGCCTCCACCACCACATGGCCATCTTCTCGGTCTCTCCTCTGCGTGTCTCTTACAAGGACACCTGTCATTGGATTTAGGGCCCACTTGGATAATCCAGAGTGATTCTGAGACCCTTACCAACATCTGCAAAGACTCTTTTTCCAAATAAGATCCTGTTCACAGGTCCCAGGGGTTAGGGCGTGGTGTTTATTCAACTTTACACACGAGCGTGTGTTCAGCTGTAGCAGAAACAGCCAAACTGTTTTCCCAGGTGTTATGCCATTGTAACCTGCACACACTCATCTGATCCCGCAGGATGTGAGACGGCCTGGGGGGGTGGTTCAGCAGCCCTTCAACTGGACACGTGTCCTCCCGTGGGTCAGCCAGCTTGCACGGAGTCAGTGAGAGACGAGCACACAGCAGGAGGGTGCTGTGTGCAGAGAATTAAAAGCAGTAAGAACAGCATCAGACCCCCCATGTTGCTGAGCACGAATGTTCCTGGGGCTGCTGAGTCCACTGTTGTGATTACTTTTGTCCTAATAACATGGACGCAAGTTTCCAACGTGCCTCTTTTCCTTCTTCATTCTTTAACAAACGTCATCTCCCTTGGGAAGTCCAGAGAATTCCCAGTTTCAGATGCGTGAAGACTCGGCTGCGTGGGCTTCCCTTGAGAGGACGTTCCCGTCTGTAATCATTTGCGGTCTCTTCAGGGACACAGTAAATAATAAAACCCTGAGAGCTGGGGATTGTGCAGACATGAAGAAGCAGATCTCGAGTCACTCATTTCCGTCATTCCCTGTAAGCGTTCGGAGTTTTTATTCCTGTTTAAAGCATCAAAGCCGCGTGGTATCTTTGCTGGGCGAGCGGGAACGCCAGTTTCGCTGTGCACGTTGCTGAATTTGAGAATCTTTAGAACCACAGTGTTTTCTACTCTTTTTAAATCGTTCCGTCGATTTTTTTATTTAAAGCTCAAGAGAAAACCAGAAAAACAACGAAATGCTTACTGCCGAGGGTTATAGGATCACGACTGGGAACAATGTTGCCACTGGCAGAAGAGGCCGTCCAGAGACCGGGCTGCGGGGAGTCCTGGCCCCTGTGGCCACAGGCCATCTCATCTGCTGCCCGAGTGGGCCCTGCGCTGGCCTCCCTCCCAGCAGGTGCCTCGCCCAGGCCAACTGGTCTAGCTGGTGGGGAGTAGGTGGCAGCGCTGACCCACAGAGCTCTGGGGAGGAGGAGGCTGGAGACTCCCATTCCCTGAGACACCCTCACCCTGCAGTGAGGCAGAGAGGACCACCTCTGGATAACAGCCCGGGGCAGTAGGGCCCTTGGGGGCTGCAGGTAACACCGGGAGCGCACAATCCTTCTTCCCCTGTCCTGCCACCAGGGGGCGCCCGGGCCCCAGGCCCGCCCTCCTGAGCTGCGCCCCGCTGTGCCCCGCTGTGCCCC